TTTAAAATGGGAAACATAATAATTTGCCCTGGAATAGTTTTACTCCTCATTGTGTCATAGTTGGGTGACAGATGAAAGAGGGAGAGAAAGGAACAGAACAGTCTCTCTCTCATATTCAAATGCGGAAATCACTGTTTCCTGTTTTCCTTTTATGACTGATCATCAAGGCAGTACTCTGGGTCACTGCTGAGTGTGGTACTCAGCATTAGAACACATTTTATGTCTAACTAGAATAGGAATGATCATTGCTGGTTACAGACTTACCATCCATCCCAGACAATGAGACCAACACAGACAAGGGAATGGAAGACAGGTTTTCCTTAGTAAAATCCTAGGTCTTTGAGAGCTTCTGAGAAGGGCGCTTCTTACGTTAATTTCACTAAGGGACACCTGGGTGGGACCTGAGCCACCAGCAGCATGAACAGGCAAAGATCAGAGGTCACACTATTAACATCAGAGAGCTCAGCTTTTGTCTTCCCATGAGTCCACTGAGGGCTCAGGAAGTGGAGTGCTACTAATCATGCTGGGGTGTTGACACCCAAAAAAGTAAGAAATAGGTTTCGCCAAGCTTCTAGATAAGTAATCAGACTTCAAAGAACCTCATCGCTTTTGTAGAACAAAGTTTGTTGACTGAATGTATGTGGGTTCTAGTCCCTACAGAACAAACTAGAAATAGGAATTTCTAGCGCTATACAAGCTTGACCCCTCACCCTTTCTTACTAGCTGATGTGTCCTCAGGTTTGTCGCCTTCTTCTTGCTTTGTTAGAATTTCCTCACTGGTTTCAATCATCTTTAACTGTTTTCAGAGCTGAGACACACCTCCCTTGCCTTATGTACCTGCCTGAATTTCATGTATCAGGCATGCCTTCATAGACCTGTGCAGATCTGCCATGGCAAGCTATGGAAAACAGCAAGTACATCAGTGAAGGCTTGGATTACCAGTGATAAGGCAAATTTTGAACCTATTTTACAGTTTGTCTATAAAGATAATGTCACTCATTCATGGTTAAATGGGCCTGCCAGGGTATGCGTCACAAATACTAAATTATGTTTAAAAGAAGGCTTTAAAAGCAATCATCTAGCCAGAAATTCCAACTTTTTTTTCCAGTGAAGTAGTCACCACTCAACAAGTATTTCCTTGTCTTTTTTCTTCCTCTGCATCACTGCAAGATTTTTATTCTTTTTATTTTGGTTTTGATAAGGAAAGAAAGATCCTTTGATGCCTCAGAGAAAGAATACAGTTATTATTCCAAATGAGTTGTTTTTAATAAGTGTATATTTAAGCATGAAACAAGTCTAATACCAAACTAGGAGACAACATTTTTCTGCCCCATTTGATTACAATTGCTAAATGTTAGACAATACTTGTAGACCTATTATCTTATTAACTTGGAATTTACTTGGAAAAGTGCTTTCTCTTAAAACTGCTAGCCAAATTAATAGCAATGGAAATTGTAGCTATGATTATACGACATTTTGGACAGGTTTTCTTTGGTGGCAGAGTTAGATATATTTATGCAGCTGCTGTTGGTTTCAGTTCCTACAGACTCCTCTCTTTCACTTTTTTCTATGAGGAGCCATATGAAGATGTTGGCTTTCCACAATTTCCATCAAAAATGTTATTTTGCAAACACAAAACTACGTTTTGAAAATGTTTCTTTACTTTTAAACCAATGCCTGATTGGAGAAGCCATCCTTCTCAGCACCCAAAGATGACGAGTGTTAATTTTAAATTTTTGTTTAAATTTGTGTCTCCTATTTATTTCGAGAGTAAACCCTGAACACGTTTGAGGTTGTGTTGTTTTTTCTTAACAAATAACCAGATAATCATAGTATGACTATTTCCTCTAGTCAGTCTAAGTTCAATGCTGACCAAGGTTGATGTAAATGTCAAGATTAATTTTTCTCTCTTGGCTGTTACCGAAGTCATAATCATCCCGAAAAGGCTATTAATTATATCAGTTTACCTACAAGCATAAAGTACCTTTCCAAGAATATCCCAGGAATTATTTTTAAAAGGAGAAAAGAAAGTACCCTTAACCTCATCTTGCAAATGGAGACTTAAATGTTAGGCTCAAGGCAAAATTCTACCAAGTAAATTTTAGAGTCAAGACGGGTTAGTAAGAACACTAATGCTTGTCTTTAACCCCAACCTGAAAAGATTTTTTTTTTAATTACACAAAAAGTCCTCTTCCCCAGTCTTCCTTAAGAACAAACTAATAGAGTGAGAGCAAGGCTAGTTGAAAGACCTTTCTCAGCTGTATATTTCAAAGCTGATATGCATTGCAAAGAGAAAAGCATGCAAAGATGCTCTCCTTACCGGAGGTGAAAGCATTGTGCCAGCTCTGTCACTACTGTAACCATCTTCCGCAGGTGGAGAGCAGGGAACGCCAGGGTCCCAACAAGTGATGAAAAGCGATAATTAGAGCTCCTGCCAAGAATCTTCCCTAAGCACTTTCTTCCGTGACACACCTACTTTGTGGCATCTACGCGCTCTTCACGGCTAACCACAATCCTGTCATTGCGGCTCATTCATCCAGCAGCTGCTGGAAGGACCGGGCTGAAGCGTGGGCGCGAGGAGGGGGACACCCGTGCGAGCGCTGAGCCGGCAGAGCGGCTGCAGCCCGCGGACTCCCCGGGCCCCCGCTGCTGCGCCGCTGCAGCTGACCGTGCGAAAGCCGCATGTTATTGGGTAGAAATCAGCTTTCCAGGAACAGGCATCAGCTGTGCACGAGCCCGGCAGCATCTCCAGACAAGTGCTAGCCGGTGTTGGTGCAAACCAAAGCTTGCTATGTGCTCAGAAAGCGGCCCCAGCTACTGAGCATGCTCGGCTTCTACCCAGCTGCTGTTATCAGAGCCCCTCAACTGTTCACTTCTGCTGATTTGAGAAGGGAGAATGAAGGAGTGGGCACGAGGGTGCGATTCGGTGAAGGTAATACCTTACATCTGGAAATAATCTCTTCCGTATCCCCGCGCCCCTTCCCCATTGCAAAAATAAAATTTAAAAAACAGAGTAAGGATATACTGCTCTGCAATTAGGAAACATTTTTATGGATAGGATGATAGAGATGTTTGAAACCTACCAGTAGCTTTTAGTCTTTCGCTTTCTCCCTGCCTAAACCTCCGGGATCTAGCTTGTGGTGTAAACTGCGAAAGGGTTTAATCCTAACAAATTACTGTTCCTCGAGGATTAAGTATAGAATTGCCTTGTATTTGAATATCTAGGCAATGTGCCACAAATTAATTATCTCTCTATAGTCATAATCTGCCTCCTACTAGACAACAACTTTCTTAAATATTTTATAAAGTAATTGTGCCAGTTTTGAAATTTAAATGTTAACCTATATTATAATACACATCTTGAAATTTAAGTCTTCCAGATGGTAAGCTCGATGCAAGCAAAGAATGCCTGACTGATTCACGACTGTAAACACAAATCTTTTCTTGCGGCCTTGGTGGATGGCCAGTACTCCATAAATGTTCCTGTGATGATTAATTGGTGAACGATGGGTTAGATCATCTGTTAGTGGTGCTTACAGGAAAGCTGAAGTTCTCGAATTTGGTATGGACCCCTATGCTAACTCTACCTTCTCAGCTATTTTGGGCTTGTCAATTATTTGAAGATAGAAATACACTATACATTAGGTGTGCAATATGTAAGAAAATGGCTTTTAAGTACTATTTACATTTTATTATTTTTATTATGCCTCCTTTTCTTCTCTTTTTTCAGCCCCCTAAGATGCCACTCACCAAGTTGAGCCTAATTCAGAGCATGCTGTCTCAGCTACTACTGAAACCAATAACATCAACTCTCCATGGTTTGCAGATAACAAAATTATTTCATTTTGAGAAACTTTTAGCCAGTCATCTCTGCCAAGTACATGGAGGGTGAATCTGAGAGGCTTTCACAGCTGAAAGGGAGCCTGAAAACTGGGCCTGTGAGAGCCCACACAGGACACGGGTGAGATGGAAGTCAAGTATCTCTTGAATTCCTACCAGGTGTTTCTCGGGCTTGGCCCATGAATCCAGTTCCTTGGGGCTGGAAAGTCCTCTCTTTCTCCCCTTTTTCTCTGCCCCATCCTCTGACTTTTTTGTTTATTTTATTTTATTTTATTTTATTTTTTTGAGATACAGCCTTGCTCTGTTGCCCAGGCTGGAGTGCAATGGCACAAACACAGCTGAGACAAGTGCTAGCTGGTGCAGTGTCAACCTCCCGGCTCAAGCAATCTTCCCACCTCAGCCTCCCAAGCAACTGGGACTACAGGCACACACCACTACTGTGGGCTGATTTTTTTATTTTTTATTTTTTGTAAAGACGGAGTCTCACCATATTGCCCAGGCTGGTCTCAAACTCTGGGGCTCAAGCGATCCTCCCTCCTTGACCTCCCAAAGCACTGGGATTACAGGTGTGAACCACTTACACCTAGCCCTCTTTCTGTCCTTTTAGGACTCAAGTGTTACCTAAGTACCTCCTGACTCCAGAGCAAGCCCACTCTGGCTCCCCTTCCCTGTGCCTTTTCAGTGATACTTTCTTCATTATCTGTAGTTGAATCATACCCCACCACACCAGCAGCTTTGAATTTCTTAAGGGTAGAGACAATGCTGGTTGTTTTTTTTTTTAATCTGTATGTATAATTGTATACATACAATTACAATTTAATTGTATAATTGTATACATCTGTGCAGTTACTTGTTTTCACATGTTGTCAAGATTACATGGAGACACAGGAGGAAGTCCTTCTATTGTAATGACCACTTAGAAAATGGACAGAGTTAGTCTAGGGACATTTCTTTTTTTTTTTTTTTTTTAACAACTGCTTTTTATTATCGAGTTTCAGAAACCTTTCACAAGATGGTAAAAAAAAAAAAAAAAAAAAAAAAAGAAAAAAAAAGAAACAGAAAAAAACCCAAAAACAAAAAACTTTACAACCACAGCTAATGTAATTTTTTCCATTGTTCCCAGTCAGCTCCAAACCCATGTGTGCAAAGCCCATTTTTTCCCATGCATCTAAATGATAGATACAGGCTATGAAATTCTTTATTCTATTTGTAGCAGCTTATGCAAGTGCAGCCAAACACAAAGCTTCAGGACAAATTATACAAACTTTACAATGTGGGATTTAAATTTCAAATATGAAACATAAAAATCTACACAAAACTGATAAAAATCAAGCACAGATACCAGGATTGAAACTTATAATATCCACATGTGAAAGGGAGTCTTGTTTCCTTTCAAGTGCTTTATTCTGCTATGGAACAGTCAAAATGAAGATGTAAAGCTTTGTGGTTAGTTTAAATTATACACTCTGTAGATACTAAACCAATTTTAAAAGTTATACATAGACCAACAGATGTCCCTCAGTTCATCTGGATTGATAAGACACTCCAGCTGGATTGCTGAGAACAAATCAGGCAAACGTGGAAAGAAAATCCACCTGTGCAATTTGTTTGCAGAGTTTACTGATGGGCACACTGCACTCCAGGTCCATGATGGCTGCTGCTTTCTTCATCAGAGCTATCATTATAGGCTTCACGCCTCTGACCACCTCCTGAGCCTCGAGTGCTATCAAATTCCTGAAGCTCTACCTCCTCTGTTTCTCCAATTATGTTAGGAACTTCCGGTCTAGATGGCAGAAGATCTTCTAGTTCGGAAAGCTTGTCTGGGTTGATCCAGTTGTTTTCAGGAAACTGCACATGAAACTTTATGTAAAGATCACCTTTTTCAAAGGGATAACGACACTGCGGCATCCCTTCACCTCGAACTACACGAACACATCCTGGTTCAATTACTTTGCCAGGGGGGTATTTCACCACAATCTGACGTCCATCAAGGTGCTTAAATGTGAACTGAAATCCACATAGAGCTTCAACAAGTCCTATTTTATATGTCATGTGCAAATCATTCCCATCTCTCTGAAATACCTCATGTTCTTTCTCCTGTAGCAAAAGAACAATGTCTCCAGGTTCCACTCCTGGGGCCTGGCCTGCTTCCCCAGTGAATGTAATTCTCTGTCCATGTTTCATGCCTTTGTCTACGTGGACTTCAAGAATCTTCACTTCTTTAATCACCTTCTTCCCTTCACATTTTTTACAGCGGTCTTTTTCATTAATTACCTCTCCTTCTCCATTACAATCAGAGCATACAGACTGCATCTGTTGTACCATTCCTGGAGCCAGCTGTCTGATCATGATGCGCACACCCCGACCTCGACAAGCACTACACTTCTGGACAGCTCCAGACTTTCCGCCTTGGCCACTGCATGCACTACAGAGTACATTCTTGCTAAGTTGGAGTTTGGTTGTCTTGCCATTATACAGACCTTCTAATGATACTTTGAGTGGATGCATCATGTCCTCGCCTCTTCTTCTGCCATTTCTACTTCTACTCTGATTGCCCATGAAGCCGAACAATCCCCCACCAAAAATGTGGGAGAAAATATCATCCATGCCACCACCTCCGCCGCTGCCTTCCCGAAGACCTTGCTCTCCATATCTGTTACATAACTCACGCTTCTCAGGATTTGATAGTACTTCATATGCAAAACTTATTTCTTTAAATTTGTCTCCTGCATTTGGATTCTTATCAGGATGATATTCCTTGGCTAACTTTCTGTATGCCTTCTTCAGCTCGTTCTCGCTAGCGCCGGGCGGGACACCCAGGATGTCGTACAGCTTCGTGTCAGCCACGTTAGCCATGGTGGCCCCGGGCAGTGCTCAGGAGGAAGGTGGCTCCGGGCAGTGCTCAGGAGGAAGGTGGCGGAGCAGACAGAGAGGAGCCGGGCCCACAAGCGGCGTCGCCAGCGGCACAGGCCGAGGGAGCAGGGACATTTCTTAAAGGAAGCGATTGCAGGAGGAGAAAGAACCTTTTCAGTATAACCAAATCAAAGATTTCATAACTGGAAAGGAAGACGCAGACCTGCTAAGAACAGATAACTAGGGTGGGGCTGTTTTATAGGTTTTAATCCCTACTTCTCTGTCCCGAACAAAAATAGAAACAAGTGGGGAGACACAACTGCTCCTGCCACGGGCCCCATGGACTCATTCAAATTCATAGCAGAGATTCCTTATTCCATCTACCTCATTTACCATCTACCTTTTTTTTTTCTTGCTATTTATTGTATTGCAATGAACCTAGTTCTCAAGGGTTGCCCAAGGTGTTCTAATCACCAAAGTCAAGAATGTCTCAGTTTTGATGACAAAAATCATAATTATCACTTATTTGCACCTTATTCTCTGCCAAGCACCACTAAAATCTTTACAACTATCACATTTAATTACCACATGAAGCATTTTTTAGCAGCATTCATCACGATCTTACATTTTGAATTTATACTATATAATAATGTGTTTGCTAATATCCAAACCATACAGACACACAATAATTGGTGATGGATAAGGACAGAGAATATTATCTTTAGCTGCTGACAAAACCAAGGCTTTGAGAGCCCAAGGTGAGATAGCTAATAGGTGGAGCACAGTGTGAATTCCATCCTGTTTAGTGCCAAAGTTCAACAGTCCTTAACCAGTCTAAATTATAGCCTCGCTCCACAATAGTACCTTTTCCAAGAAAATACAGCTAAAGTTGAAGGCAGGGGCCAATTCCAAGTTGACTTGATGCCACTGGGGCTCAGAAACCAATACCTCAAAATATAGCACTTCAACATGCTAAACTGAAGGAGCCTCAAGGTCTGACCTTTCCCATCCCACCTCTAAGCATCTCTCGAAAAGCACAGGATGGATCTGAAGTTCCTTTAACTGTTTAAGGATCCAGATCCATCAAGGACAGTAGTGTTTTTTTTTTTTGTTTTTTGTTTTTTTTTATTCCCCCCGGTAATACCAAAAATGTAAACACACCTGAACAGACCCTTCACAAGATATTGTCTGCCTCCCAAGATCATTCAGATCCCAAAGTGAACTATTTACAAGTTAATTTCTGTTCACAGAGACATTCATTCTCCTTCTGACATGATTTGGCTCTGTGTCCTCATCCAAATCTCATCTTGAATTATAATCCCCACATGTCAAGAGAGGGAAGTGATTGGATCATGGGGGCTGTTTTGTTTCCCCCATGCTTTCTCGTGATAGATCTGATGGTTTTATAAGCGTCTGGCATTTTCCCCGCTTGTACTTCTCTCTCCTGCCACCATATGAAGAAGGCCCTTGCTTCTCCTTCACCTTCCACCGTGATTGTAAGTTTCCGGAGGCTACACCAGCCATGTGGAACTGAGAGTCAATTAAGCCTCTTTTCTTTATAAATTACCCAGTCTCAGGTAGTACCTTTATAGCAGTGTGAGAACTGACTAATACACCCTAGTAATCATATTGCCTTTTAACAGAATTCCTCTTCATCCTGTTCCCATAACCAGTTTTGTCAGGGTGGTATATAAGCTTTGAAACCCATTGGACGGTACGTAATCACACTGTGGTTCTCCTGTGTACATGTTAATACATTTTGGATGCCTCATCTCCAACTAATCTGCTTCCTTGAGTTGATTTTTTTTTTTTTTTAAGTGAAACTTCATGGGCAAAGGGGCTGTTTTCTCTTGGACCCTATAATGCCAAATCCTGGGCTTAAACTCTACTATTCTGTCCCACTCCTCTACAAAATTCTTTCCTCTTTTGAATTCCTTGACATCACAGTTTTCTAATTCTATGCCTTTCTTATTTTTCCAAAAAAATTAAGGTTTCTTTCCCATTCATTCATTCATCTCATTGTTGCTACTTGTAACAATAGTTATCACTTCTTGTGACTTTTGCATTTCTGTCTAACTAGTAACCCTGTTTTAATTTCTTACTCTTCCATCCTTCTTCCAAAAACCCCCAAAGTGTCCTCCTAAAATTTCATTTACCATTACAATTGAGAAATAAAAATAAAATTCTAAGTCACCCAGCTGACTTAATGGACCCCGCTCTTGGCCAAGGGGACCCCAAAGAAATCTTGAAAACTGAGTTTCCAGTCATGATGGGATGCGAGGTCGGACACCTTGTTATATCCCCTCCCTAAATAACTGCCATTAGGCTTTCATCCCTAAGGGTGAAAAAGAAGCCAGCCCTCTCAAAAGACTCCACCACTGATAGCAGGCAAATGCCTGGAGCTGCCCTTTGTGGTTCCCACAAAACAACTGACCACATGTCTTCCTGATAAGAGACAACCAGCTATAGAGTGGTTCCGACCAGTCTACAGAGGATGCACCATGAGGATTTTGATGTCCTCTGCTTCACCTTTTGACATCAGGGGGCCAGAAACTCTACCCTCGGATCACGCTAATGCTGCCATTTTTTTGTAGATGGTGCCCATGAAGAGGCATGAAGCTCAATTGGATATACACATGCTTCTCCTTTCATAAGTATTCATGGCTCCTCCTATGGTTTATTGAATAGATTTGCTCATCCCACCCAGCGTAAACTCCTGTTCCTTTTGCCACTCCCTCAAGTGTTTGTTTCCAGCTCCCAACCAGAGGTAACACTTCCCAGCCTGTCAGAATGGCCACCTGCAGGCTGCAGCCCTTTATGAGAACTAAAGCTCTCCTTTCTAAATCTATGAACCTCATCAATCTTCAGCTGACACAGTGAACATTGTTGATTGTCTTGAGAGGGTCGGCCTTTCTTCTAATAGATCCCAAATTATCTGTCTTTATCTGTTCATATCCCCAAACAGTCCATTTGCTCAAGGAAAAGTTCACCAGTCTGATTCTCATTGATCTAATAGCAACACCAAACTCTTGCCATTCCTTGGTTAAGGAATGGGTATGTAACCCAATTTTACCTGGTGAAAAGGGCAGGAAAGTTTGCGGCAGGCTTCAGAAAGCTATCTCCTTTTTCTTTAGTGGATTTCTGAGATTCCTTCTTATGTCTTATATTTAAACAAGGAAATACATAGCCCCTAACACTACTAGAAAGCCTCTTTACACCTTGAAAAGAAGTTAACATTGTACAAAGCAAAGAGCAGAGATCTAAAAAAAAAAAAAAAAGGTGGGGGGGACTACTGGTGATATCATTAAATTGATCTACCCACCCAAAGGCCTACCTTACCTCTTGATTTATTGGATTGTGAGCCAATAAAATCTGCTTAGAACCAATAGAATTGGGTTTTCTACTTACAGTCAAAAAACCTCTTGTCTGAGATAGCATTTTTTTTCTTTCCTATTCAAAATGCTGAAATGATTAGGAATAAACTAAGTTTTGTGGTATAGCATTTGAGAGTTTGTTCCTGGTCCCTTCTGTCTTGGAAACTTTGTCTCCCATTATATTCTGCTATGCACTTGACACTCTGGACATGCTTGACTGCTTGCTCTCACCATGTCACTTGCTATCCCACAGGCCCCTGCCTTTGTACTGCATTTTCTCCTACTGAAATTGAACTCTTCAAGATCCAGAGTACAAGATACTTCCCTCCGAGACAGATTTTCAAACTTAGTATTTCTTCTTTTTATATCTTCATATATGTTGCTTGTACCTGTGTGTGTAAATCTGGGTCCTCCAGGAGGCAGAGCAGCCAGGATGGAATTAAACTGCAACAATGACGTCTGAGGAAATGTGTGGGAGAGAACATGAAGAGAGCCAAGGGAGGCTGGGGGAACTATCAGACTATGATGCAGGTATGACCCTGAGTGAAGAAGAGAGAAAAGGGAAGGAAGCTGGATGCAGTATAGTTATCAAGAAAGTTCAGCAAGGGTGGTGGTAAATCCTCAAGCTAGCCTTTCATCAGAGGAGTCTGACTTCTTCCAGAAACAGGCTGCCCTAGTATGGCTGCCACTCTCAGTCGTTGGCTGGGAGCAGCCTACAGGAAGCTTGGTTTCGGTATAAAAGCTGTGATGCCTGTCATAAGGGGACCTTGTTCACTCCCTGCAGCTTTACATTCCCTGCAGCGTTACACTCCCTGCAGCTGGAGGGTAGGAGGGTACTTGCTCATGACTGCCATACTCTTTATTTATTACTCATTCAGTATGTCCTAAATTCTACAAGTTATTTACATGAAACTCTTCCCTGCTGGATATAAACTCCTTAAGGGCAGGACCTGGACCTGGATTCATTTTTTTGTCCCACTGTGTGTTTTCCATAGTATGATTCCAGTAGACTGCTGCTGTGTTACTGAACTGCATTCTAGAATATATTGCCTCAGACCTCTATATCTGCAATTTCTTAAAATAATAGGAATAATACACCCCCTAAAGTCAATGAGAACTTGCTTTCATAAGATGTAAGATATTGTTACATGATTAATATTTTTAAAAAGTTTAATTCAGTCATACTCACCTGTCTTCTCCTACAGATCAATGTGTCTCCACAAAGAAGTTTGATTCTGAAATTTCAGCATTGATGAGGTAGTGAAGTGGAGCATTTGCTGATTAATACGCAATTTTTCACAAATTTAATCCCCAAGGAAATGGATGATTAAACTTGGAGTTAAATTTATAATGGACTTTAGTTTGGGCTGGAGAAAACTATTTCAGACTGGTGTGATACACTCTACTATTTCTTCAACATTCATTTTTAGGTGACATGAAAATGGATCTTTCAGGTACATTTTTTTCAGATAAAAGGAAGATTAATAGTGGTCACTGAGGAATAAAGAAGATTAGAAAAATCTGTGATTATTTAAGGTATAATATGCATTATTAAGCAAGGAGGGAAAGCATGTAAATACAGGTATTTTGGCACTTCATTATACTTTGTAATGTTCTAGATACTATCAATTTAGGGTCAATCAA